AACTCGATAGCGAAAATTGAAACCTTAGTGGCAAGTTTAGATGGTATGTATGTTCGGGAGATCACTCAGAAAGTTAAAGAAAGAGAGATGGAGGAGAGAGAGAGAGAGAGAGAGAGAGAGAGAGACTGATTTTGATCGAAAACCAGAGAGAAGCAAGAACATCTGAGGATCAACCCAGAAGGTTCAGTATCTGAATAATCAAAATACGGAAACGGAAAAGAAGACAAACAGTTTTAAACAAACAATGAAACCAACATTTCCCATAACTGAAGGACATGACTGTCGGAGTGCCTAGCACGTGAATAGAAATTTACACCCGCATGCCCGCATGTCGCGCGCGCGCACACGCACACACACACACGCACACACACACCCGGGTCACTTCCTCATGGAATTTCAGAGCCCCAGCAGTAAAAAGCAGACCCTGAAAGGGCAGGGAATGGGGGACGGGTCACATACAATGGATAAAAAGCTAGTGTGGCATCCAACGTCTCGACAGCCATACTAGAAGCTAAGGAACGATGAAAAAAATGCCTCGACATTTTAAAGAAAAATCACTTCCAGCCTAGAGGCTTCTGCCCAGCTAAATGTACCCAAGTGCAAAGGCAGAATAAAGCCACCGCGGACACGTATGCGGCTTGGCCGGGGTTCGGGCACCCTATGCCCTTAGTCGACCCTGATTTGAGGGGATGGATGGCTGATGACGTGTCTCTGGAAACTGGTCTTTTAGGGGATGGCAGAGAAGGAAAACACTTGCTTCCAGCTGCTGCCTGGGAGACAGACCCGCGTGTAGGGGTGGGAAAAGCCATTGATGGAGGCCTGCTCCCCCCAGGGGAGCTGGGAAGCACAGGGGGGCCCTGGCTGCCATAATTCCTAGGGGATGCTACAGCCATCTAGTTCCCCAAGGGCCAGGATGTGAAGTGTCCTGCGGTGCATTGGGCAGCCCCTCGAGAAAGGAGTGTCCTCCCCATAGTCCCGAAAGCACGTCCTTGAGAAATGCTGAATTAGACACCTTGGTTTTCACTCTGAGGCTGCTTATGCTTGAAGCGGGGCCGAGAGGGTGCAGAGGACTCTGGGGGTGGGTTGGGCGAGGTAGAGGAGGTAGCCGGGTTGGGCGAGGTAGAGGAGGTAGCCGAGTTGGGACTATCCCAGAACGAATTCCATCGAATTACTTGGATGATGCTCATGTTCAGGAAGGGCCTAATTGTTCTGAGTGCAAGTTCAGGTCTGCACCCCGGCCGCGTGCTGTCTGGACCACTGCTGCGGCCTCCCTTTGGGTCTCCCTGATTCCAATCTCGCCTCTGCTCCTCCAACCATCAGTGATCTTCCTCAAACTCAGATCTGCTGGTGTCACCCACCTGCTCGAAAGCTTTCAACGGCCCCGGCTCCATATTGCCGCCCTCTTCCCCGGGGCACAGAAGCCAAACATACCCATCCTGCAAAGCTCAGCTCCAAGCCCCGCGGTGGTGGGGCTTCTCTGGGTGACAAAGGCCACTGTGGCTCAGGCCTGGCTTGGAGCTGCGGGCTGAGACCCCTATAGACGGGCTGGCCCAACGTCTGCATTCTGCAGATGAGGAAACTGAGGCCTAGTGAGAATGGTGTCTTGCCTGAAGCTACCTGGTCACAAATGCCAGGACAGGATATGGTTTGCCAGCCTCTAGGCCGGTGTCCCACCAGCTCTCGCCTGATGTGTGATGGGACCAGTGGGAACTGGTGACTGTGTCCCAGATGAAGTGAGTGCTTCACCACCCTGCCTCCCCTTCCCGCCACCGTGGGAGCTTCAGTGGAGGCTGTGAGGACGGGGACCGGAGACAGAGTGGGAAGGTGACTTGTGGCCGCTGCTGGAGGATCATGAGCCTTGTTTCCAGGAGACGAAGGGTTCTGAGAACAGGCTGACGTGACTGGAGCAGGGCCACGGACTGGAGAGGGGGGGCCGGCAGGACCCCAGTAGACAGCAGGTGGTCTGTCCTGGGCTCGCGGGTGCCGCAGCCCAGGGGGGGGGGCGGCAGGACCCCAGTAGGACAGCAGGTGATCTGTCCTGGGCTCGCGGGTGCCACAGCCAGCAGTGTGCAGCAAAGTAGCAAGGTCCATCTCACTCGGTGCTGGGAACTCGCTCAGCAGAGTGACACATGAGGAGGAAAGTCCTCGCACAGCGCGGCAGGGAGTCTGCCCTGGATTCTGCGACGCAAACCCAGGAAGGGTCAAGACGTCAAGGAGGTGGCCCGAGCGTAGTGGTGACAGTAACCTCACGTCCCACCAGTGGAGGCTGGGACGGAGAGCTAGGCCCTGGGCCTCTGGGGATGGCGTGGACTGCAGCCTGAGGACCGGGTCCCCTCAGGGAGCACCCAGAGACAAGACTCCGCACCTCGTCCGAAGTTTAGAATTTCTGCTCTTTCTCCATTTACTCTTGATTTCCTTTAACATTTAGCAAACTGTCTTCTTAAAACATTTGGCTTGCCTCGGCGGGCTTCGGGGAACCACAGGTGCGTGGTGGTGTCCCCGGGGGGTGGGGTGAGGGACAGTCCTCGAAGAAGGAGCAGCCGGCCCCGTGGGCCCGTGGCCTGGCAGGGCCAGGGAGCAAAGGCTCCACAGGACGGGGCGGGGGCGGGGGGAGAGCTGGGTCACCTTCTCTTCCTACTGGAAGACCCTCCCTCTGGAGCTGAACCCTCGAGCCTGGGGACTTTGCCACGGGGAGCGAGAATCCCTTGTCACCACCCTCTGAGCAGACTTCCGCTCTTGGACGCAGTTCTGTTCTCTAAATCACGGATGCCTCTGGTTTCATGACCATCCGGGGCATAGCTCCTCCCCAAGCCCAATGACTCTTTTTTTTCTTTTCAAAATCTGAAGTAAAAATGCAATGGCTTAAGGATAGTCAAGTAAAACCACAAAAACAAAACTGTCTTTCTACATTCCGATCTAATCATCTAAGAATATGGCAGCCACGTTGGTTTCTCTTAGTGACTCTAGGTGGGCAACCCTTTAAAAACCCAGGTAATTCTAAGTGTAGGCATCGAGCGTGTTGGTCTGAGGTTTCTGGCTGCCTTTTACTCTTGCTGAAAACTGTGACACGTGCTCGCATCTTCAAGTATTCTGACATCCGCTGGGATGTCATCTTCTGAGGTCGGGCCTCATTTTCTAGCTCCTCAGGGCCCTGACTGTCCCTGCTCCCATGGTACACCTCCTCCTTTCCCTATGGCCGTGGGGTCCAAACTCCAGGACACAAGAGAATCATCTGGGGATGAGTCCCTGGCCCCACTCCACACCTACTAAATCAGAATCTTGGGGCGAGACCCTGCGACTCTGAATTTTTAACTAGAACTGAAAGAGATTTCGATCAGGCAAACTGAGGACCGAAATGAAGACCATGACTTTACGGAAGAATCGCCCTGTTTACACACACACGTACACACGCACACACACACGTACACACGCACACACACACAGGCCAATGAGTTGTTAACCATGTGCTCAGGCAGAGGCTCTCTACTAACTTTATTTCCTCTAATCCTATACTAACCAGAGCAGCCAAGCATTCCCATTTTTAAGGCCAAGGACACAGAGAGGTTAAATAACTTAGCAAAGGTCGCGGAGTTGGGAAATGGCCGTGCAAAGTCCACCCCCGTCCTCGCCCTCACCTGCAGCTCACTCTCACTGCCCGATCCCTCTGGAATGGAAAAGACAGATGCCCAGAGGCGTCCGTGTCCTTTTCAGTGAGATTAGCATCTTTCCCATACTTTCCTCATCTCCCAGCCTTCCCGGCTTCTTCTCGGCAGGGTGGAGCCTCCCTCATTACAGCCCCACCCCCTCGTCCCTTGAATGCCTGATCTCGTTAGCACCCGCCCTGGCCCCTTCCTATGGGAGTGACGCCTAGCTTCCACATTTGGACCCTCCATCCTGCTCCAGCATTTGTGGAACAGGCCCGGCCAGCCATGCCTGACCAGGGGCTACAGCCGGCAACTACGCGTCAGGCAGCCCAGGCGCCCGAGAGAAGTGGTAAAGGGCTCTGGGGTCTGGGAGTCAGCCCCCGGCGCCCCCAAACCACACTCTGCGTTGAGCCTTGGAGGTGTGCCTTGGGACCCGGCAGCTGTCCCAAGGCAGGACACACTTGACTCAACGCTGAAGGGTGTGCCTTGGAAGTCCCGAGCAAAGTGTCCCAAGGTCTTTGGGAGGCTTTGTAAGGAGCAAACCAGCCTCCCTCGTGTGAGGTGTAGTATTTGGGGACTCTATGAAGACCTGAGGCAGGGGGCCGCCCTTTCCGGGCACATAGAATTGTGACTGACAGGGAGAGGGGCTTCTCCAGCTGGGCGAAGGGGATGGTGGAAGGCGAGCCAAGAGCACAGTCTGGGGCCAGAGGGCAGTGCTGTCCGTGTGGTTAGCACCTCCAGGCCCGGGTTCGGAGTCCCGGTGCCAGCAGGTGCAACAGGAAGCATGCCACGACCCTGTGAGGCGGGGCGGGGGCAGCAGACACGGGTAGCACGCAGTGACGGGCACTTCGTTCCACTTGGTGGTAGGGGCGGTCAAAGAAAAGGAAGAACGTTTGACTGTGAGTGAAGTGGCCAATCATCTAGAGCAGGACCTGGCAAAGTTCGGCAGGGGCCAAATTTGTCCGGTGCCTGTTCACCTACGGTCGGCAAGTAAGAAGGGATTTTACACTTTAAATGGTTGGGAAAATCAAAATAATAATATTTTACAGAACACGAAAATCATATGAAATTCAAATTTCAGGGTCCCTAAAGTAAAGTTTTATTGGAGCACGGTCATGCCTATTTATTTACTCGTTATCCGTGCTGTTTTCGTGAGACTAGCAGATTCTCTTACCGTGACAGAGACCGTATGACTCACAGAGCCAAATTAGCGACTCTTTGGTCCTCTAGGAAAATATTTGCTGACCCCTGAGCTAGAAGGACCCTTAAAACGTCCCCCGGACGTATCGCCTCTAATCGGCGCCCCCGAGGGCTGGATGGGAGACTGGCCCAGGCTGACACGGCGAGGTCACGGCTCCCCACCTGCCTTTCCTCACGGGTCCTGGCTGCTGACGCTGCCAGAAGCAGACGGCTGCCCCTCGGGTGGGGGAGGCCCTTGGGGATGGTGCTTGGGGATGTGGGCCCGAAGTCCCAGGCAGGCCCCGCCCCCACCCCGTCCAGCCCCCAGGGCTGCCTGGTCCCCGGGGTGCAGGCCCCGGTGAGGGACTCGGGCGGGGGCTGGCTCCGGGGCTCGGGGCTGGAAGAACATCTGAAACAGCAGCTTTGGAGAGAGAAACGCCCCCTCCATGCAAAGTCCTCTTTGTTTATCATCGCCATTATTACAAATGTGCACATCCCAGCAAAACCAGCGGGTCACACATTGACAAAAGAGCCTGCCGCACTGGGGCAGGAGGGTTCTGGGCTTTTTCGGCCTGTAGGTTCTAATTCCTGGTATGGGGAAGCTGTTCAGTGAAAGAGCAAAATGACTTCATTGTATTGTGAGTTCCCTGTGGTCCTCCAGAAGTTTCTCTTACCCCCACACAGACCTGAAGTTCCGGGGAACTACGTGAGTTGGCAGCACCTCGGGGAGGAGGCTGATTGGCCGTTAGTGGGAATTAGGATGATATGGCACCCCATGGGCCAATGGGCAATGGGGCGGGCTGCCAGGACGGAGAACTGGCACGCACCCCAGACCCCCAGGCCGGCCACTGGGCCAGGTCCACACCATCTTGGCTTCAGGTATGAAACGGCTTCAGGTTCAGCCCAGGCCGTGTGGGCTGGGGCATGTCGCCTAACCTCTCTGAGCCTCGGTTCCTCATCTGCTAAGTGGGAGGTGGGGTTGGGGGAGACACTATGACAACTCACCTGTCACGAGTATTAGCGATAGTGTAGGTGACACCCTTAACCAGCCTCGTGGATTTCGATAAGTTGTAGCGAGTATTGCTGCTTGTCTCCCGAGGTCCAGCAGAGCCAAAGACTCTGTGGCACACAAATGCTGATGCTTTCGATGCCACTTAGTTTCTCTTAGCAACCCGAGCCGATCTGGAGGGCAGAGGATTCCAAGGAGCAGATAACACCTAGGAGCTCCTGGTACTGGGCCTGCGGCTTCATAGCAAATGCCTTGCTTCCTGAATTGTCCGCAACCCAAAGTCGATGAGGAGGGCAGGGCGAGGCGCACACAAGGGTGAGGGGGGTGGGGGCCCGCTGCGTCAGGAACTCTGGCCCCAAACCTCCCGCCCTCCTCACCGTCTCAGGCTCTCTGCCTCTCTGAGCCCTCGTGTCCACTGATCCCCCGCTGGGTACAAAACTGGCCCTCAGGTGAGAGGCCGGGAGCATGGCCCACAGAGCCTCGGAGCCGAGGACGGTGGCATCGAGCCTCTGGATTGACATTTCCTGAACCAGGGGCTGCGCCCGACTCAGCAGCAGCCAAAATTAAAAAGGCAAAGAACCGTTTTCAGTAGCGTCTAAGGTCGAATGGAAAATAAAGCCGCTGGAAAGCGGCCTCTGCCGAGAGAAAGGCTCCTCTCTCATCCCGTGCTGATCACGTGAAGGGCAAGGAAACCGATCCCTACACGGGGGAGGGGACGGAAGGCACGAGGACAATCAGGTACCTGGAGTCGACCTAAGAGAAGGGGAGAAGCACGGAGGGAGGGACGTTCTGCACGGGATCCTGAAACAGCAGGGGGTGGCCGAGGAGCCAGAGGGCGGGAGGCACCTCCCTGTCGCCGCCAGGCCTTCTGTGCCTCCGGTTTGCACGCGCCGATGCGAGGGTTCTCAAAAAAAAAAAAAAAAGCCTGCGCTGTAGTGTTTATTTAAGGATAAGGCGACCCGACCTCCGCTATGTTTAGCACATGAAAATCTACAGGTGTTTGACTCTAGGAACGGCTTCGGGTTTTGCTATCAGTTTTGAGTCCCCTCCCGTCTCGGTTTTGTTGTCCAGCTGGCTTCCTGGCGGCCACAAAGTCCTCCCTTCTCCCCTACCCGCTTCTCCAGCTCACCTGGAGTTCGAATGCCCCTCTGTGACACAACGGCTTGTTTTAGGAAATAAGGGTTGCTGTTTCCATTTCAGTGCTCATTTAAGGTTTTACGCCGACCTCAGTCCCGCCGACGCCCCCCACGTTAGCCTAGTCCCCCCACCTCCCATTTCATATTCTGTTTATCAGCCACGGATTGGGAGGTGTGTTCATTTCTCCTCAAGGGCTCGCATTGGAAGGCGGGGTATTTGTTCTCTCGTGCCTCTTCCACGTGCCCCTCTGTAAAATAGCGTGTCCCAGAGGGGCTAACAGCTTGAGCCTCAAAGTCAGACACCCCACAGCTCGGTCCTGGCTCTCTGTGACATTTCGGTTTCCTCCGTACACTGAATTGTCCTATCTCTGCAGTGTCGGAGATTAAATGCTTATGTTTAGCACAGGACCTGGCACCCTGTGATAGTCCCCACATATGTTAATGAGCCCATAGGTGTCCCCCACATGCCCAGCCCCTAGCTGATCACAAAGAGAGGCTGTCTGAGGAAAGCTGCTGGCCTGTCCAAGGAATTCCTTTCCTGTATAAGTGGAAGCGGATCTATTACAAACAACTCAACACCTCGTCGGCCCTCGGGAGCGGGCCGGCGTGGCGATTCGCGTTCGCACGGGGATCAATGGCTTACGGAGTCTTCGGCGTTATAATCGTGGGCAGAACAGGGCCGTGGAGTCAGGTCGTTGTGCCCAGGCTCTGCCTCTCACAAGCTATGTGATCTTGGGCAACTCTGGGGCACTCGGAGGTTCTGGCCCCTTGTCTGTGAAGTGGGGCTGCTGCTACCCGCCTCCCGGGCTTCAGAGGTCCACGAGCTGGCTTCCGTGTGACGCGACTCGGGACATCTGACGGCCGAGGCCGATGCGAGCCACCATCCCTCCATTTTCCCACGGCTTCAGCTTCCGACGGGCAGAAGTCACTCTCGTGCTGCCTGCACTGCACGTGTACACACACACGCACACACACACGACAGCTTCGGACCCCTCCTTCCCAGACGAGCGTCTGAAAGAGGACAGGTGAACTTGCTTCTCACGCCTTCCCCTAGGACCACTTCTAAGAAACGCGCCCCAGTAAAAGGCAGCCCGAGTTGGGACTGGCTTTGATGAAAAGCCCTGGGTTAATGGACCTGTGACACAGCTGTGACCAGAACAGGAAGGCCGAGTGCTGCCGTGAGCTAGGCGAGGAGTTACTTACCCAGGCGTGACACTGAGCCTCCCGACCCGGCCCAGATTCCCCGGCTTCCTGATGGCGCTCACGAAATCTGCTCAAGGGACGGATGCCAGCCAGGTGGCCGAGTGACTGGTTCATCCGCCAGGCCAGCACGTTCTTCTAGACAGTGTTTACCCCCGGAAGAGGGACACAGACCTGTGGTCCAGGAGAAAGCAGAGGGCCAGGCGGCAGGAGGCCAGCACTGTGGGCCCAGCTCTGCGGCTGTCACTTGGGGCAGGAAGTCGCTTGGTCTCGTCAATTCCCCCTCAGCTTTAGGGCAGGGGTGGGAGGTGGACCACTCACTCGTCACCGTGTCACCCAGCTTCTCACCATGTCCCAGCTTGGGCTCCACCCTTGACTTTGCTTCTCCCAGAGGTTGTTCCATAAACCTTCTCGGGTTCTGTGAATCCTCTTCGTCCCTCCCAGCAGGTATTAATCCCAAATTATGACCGAGGATGTCACTATCCCGCCCAAGTCACCGCTTATGGAGGAGGAGAAACTCTCCCAGTATGTGAAGTGTACTTCTGGAACCCTGGAGACACTGGCAGCGATGAGTGTGACGCTCCATGGCTGAGGGGTCACCCCGCGGAAGTGGCGTGGCAGGACTTCTACGCCAACAGCAGATGGGGAAGCCTGTTGGGGTGTTAGGTGGGAAGTTAGGATGAATACAGAGGAGTATGAAGACTGCAGTCTCAAGTGTTGACCTTGCTCGGGAGGTCAAGAGCTCGTGACCACCCGTGTGAGTGTCCAGGATGTGACTGCCCGTTCTGGGACACCGAGCACTGCCACTTCCCACACACGTTGACCTGCAGGTAAATACTGGGCAGGACGATGCCTGGGCTACAATGTTTTCTGACACGAGAATTAAGTATCACAACACACGCAGGTTACTATCCAGGATTCAGCCTCCTTGCTGCCCGTGGCCCATGTCCAAGTCCTCCGGGGACAGAAACACCAAGATCAACATCTGAAGCATCAACTCCGTATCCCTCATGTGGGAGGGACATGGAACGCACAGATGCTTCCGATCTGGGTAAGAACTGACGCAACCCAGTTAGCGTGTAACAGAACCAGCAGGCAGGGCAGGTGAGCTGGGAGGCCGGGGTAGCTGTAATGCCTCGGCTGAGTCTTCAGAGGCTCCCTGCATGGTGGGGGTGCACGGAAGGAGCTGTGTGCCCTGGAACAGGGCGGAAGCCTGCTTGGCAGAGCAGGTAAAAGGCTGGGAAGGTGGGCGGGGGCTAGCCATGAACAGCCCCTTGCATTTTTAAATCTGATATCTACTCTGGATCTTCAGGAGGATCTTCAGGAGGTTTTGATGAACGGGAGGGCAGAGGCGCATCTGTGCCCATGGATGAGTCAAGAAAAATGGAGGGGAAGCAAGTGATAAGACTCACGGAATAGCCCGGGCGAGCGCCAAAGGCAACGCCAACAAGGCAGAGTCAGGAACAGCTGGGGAAGAACCCGCAGTGCGAACGGGAGGAGCCTGGGGCTGGCTCACGGGCAAACACGCAAGACCCTAACACTGCTCTTCAATTGAGCCCGTTCTCGGGATCACGGAGGAGAGAAAAAGTCACTCCGACCTTTACAAGCGGGTCCAGATCCACACAAAGTCTAGCTACTGCGAGGACATGACCAGAACGGAGGTGATCAACCGTAAGGCTGACGATGACCCCCGCATGGGCATCGACAGTGCCAGGAGGCACTGTGTTGGCGAAGACGCAGCACAGACGGTGTGCACTGGCGCCAGAGGAGAAAGAGTCACCTCCTGGCCTCCGGACAAGGCGCATCCTCAGGCTGAAAGGCTGGAGGCAGGAGCAGCGGCAGGCAGGTTGAAGATAAGGGGGTCAAGGATTCTTTCACAAAGACATAGGGATTTTGGTGATAGTTACAGAAAATATCGCAAGAGGTAAAGACTTTTAGCACAGAAGAAAGGACATGGAAGGGGCAGGGCTGGGGTGCAGAGAGGCTGTGAACTGCATCAGGGGAATCGGGGGGAGCCAGTTGGTCACCGTGCAAGGTCTATGGCGTCTCTTTATACCCGCCTCTGAACATCTATGTCATTCCAACATCACGTGTTCGCTGATGTACTTCCTTTAAAATGTGAAGAAACCACGGTAGAAGTTGTATATAGCATAAAGTTATTCTGGTTCTCTTACTGAAATGCGTTTGGGGTCAAGCTCAAGCTTCAAGAGAACCTAGCTTTTGGCACCAAACCAAACAAGCTGCCACTGAAAGCAGATTTCAAGACTGCACTAACGTGGGCATTAGCCAAGAGACTTGGTCAACAGCAAAACTCCATTTAAATGAGTCAGGCACCTCGGAGAAGAGTCCAAATATTTCGGGGATTAGGACCCCGACATAACCGCACATCCCTCCTGCAGAGACGCATCTATAGTTACTTTTGATAACCACCTACCACCTTAGGACATCTTTCCCGAAACCTAAAACAAGCTCACCACTGAGGAGACACAAAAAAATACGCATAACTGACAAGGATTTTTTTTTTTCAATATGTCTTTATTTTTCAAACTCAAAGCTTTATTTCGGCAAGTTCTAACATTTTGCATTGACAAGTGATTTCACCTGCATCGCATAAGAAGGCCTGTGACCACTACACACCAAAGAGGAAACCTCACACTGAGGTGTCGCTAGTTAATCAATTTTTCAGAGGCTGTGCAAATCTAGAGTCACAACGAAGCTTCCGATTTAGTCTAATGAGTATCTCTTTACCTGTATTAATTTGGAAACGGATGGCTAAAAACTCTTGATTTTCCTAGAGCGGCTATTTTTTTAATCCATTAAAAAGAAAACCAGATGGCTTGAGTTTTAAAACACCCACAGACCCATATTATTTAACGACTTCCTCTTTAGTGGCTCGTGTTCTTGCCTTCCTATGCAAACGCTCACAATTTGCACCAACTCTCACTAGCCCAGAAGAAACTCCAAGCATTTTCTTTTACTGACACTTTTTTTTTTTTTTTAATTAAGTGATAGGTAAACAAGATTTAGGACTGAACTCACAAAAAGGCATTTCCTTTCCTGGTCCTCACTTTGGATGTCTCCACAAATACGCCTGAGAAGTTGCCAGGCCTTTTAAAACATAACCCCCTTCGGTCCTCCTTGGTCCTGTGAGTTTAACAGGCTGAACTGGAACATGTTCCAAAGTCAGCTGTGACATGCTGGTCTCTGCCAGACTAAGGATATGCATTCAACCTGGGCAGCTGGGAGTTCGTTCACGTTATGAAATCCCCCCAAAGGGTTCTCCCTAGCGTGGAGCCCCAGTCAGGTAGATACCCCCGAAGTAATGGTCTCTTGTCTCAACTGGATGACTATCATTTATTCTCCGGAAGAGGACGTTTGAGCTCAGAATCTAGCTGCATCCTAAAGCAAGTCACCAGTACCAGAAAGTTAACTAGAAAGGAGGCGTTCTGAAAGTTGGGGAGGTGCTTTTGAGGGGCACCACTGCCCAGAGTTGAGGCAGCAATACCAGTTGAAAGTCGAGCCTACCGTGAAGGTAAGTTCTAGTGGAGAGGCTGAAGGACAGGCAGATTTTTAGCAATTTGCTTATTAATGTGTCACCACACACACACGCACACACAGGTTCCCACACAGATGGCTGTAACTCAAGGCTCCAGGGAAAAATCAAACTGGGGAGAAGAGCGGACAAAAACTGAAATGCCAAACCACGTTTGTTACCACGTATCAGGCATCCTGACTCCTCCGGGACTGAAGGTGTTCGTGATACAGAGTTTAGTTTCCGAGTTGAAGTTCTTGAGTAAGGAATAGTGTAAGGTGAGACTGAAGCTCGGAGCCCCGAACTTAGCGAGTACCCTCCTGCCACACGAGGAGAGGGGGTACGGCGTTCCTCTCCCTGCTGCTCAGCCGAGTCCGAGAGCTGGGGTACCGAGCTGCATGCGCATGTGCAGGAAGCATCGGAGAACCGAAGCGAATGAGTCCACTTAAATGTATATTAGAACTTGTACTTGAACTTTGGTGCCCTTGGCCACTGCTGAGTTTCATGTTACTCAACACACAGAAAAGAGGAACCGCTGGACTCAGTACAAGTTCAGAGCAACTGGTGCTTGTGGGAGCAGAAGGCAAGGCAGGTTTCAGCTAGAATTTCTAGACGCCTCAAATTCAAGGTTACCTGGTCTATTCTGAGGCAGCCAAAAGGCGCCACTAGACCAGGGTGGTGTTTCGAAAGTGCAGCTTTTTACCCCGATGGGTGTAGAACACATGTCTATGCTCAAACTCCAAAACAGCTGGGCTAAGAACTTCAGGTGCAGAGATTCTACCGAGCTGGCCATCACGAAGCGTGGTAAAGAACTGGGGGTGGGGTGGGGGGGAATTCTAGCAACTTCTGTGCCTCCCTTCACCCTCGAAGAAGGACTAATACCAGATCAGGTGGGCTGGGGTGGGGGGAGGGGAGCAGAAAGAGCTCTGAAGACAAACTGGAAATTTAATTACTCGATGCGCTTCTGATCCCACCTTCATCTGGAGCCTCGTCACCCTGATCCCCGAGCCTCCCAGCAGAGGCGGCATGCCTTCTGCGGGCAAGTGCTTTTGTTGGCAGCTTCAGCACATTTCAAAGCTTTGGTTAAACAGACCTGTCATTTTTGTGCAAACGTGTTGCCATTTGACCACAATGGCAGTCTTTTAAGGTCATGGATGACCACGTCATTTGTAAAGTTGAGATTCACTCTTCATTGTCCCCCTTTTAACACTGAAGCACCCCACCCCACCCTATCCCCGCCCCCCATGTAGAACCAGCCTTGACTCAAAGCCAGCGAATTCAAATATAACCGGCTCTCAGGGAGACAGGAGCTGGTCACACTAAGAAGTGGCTTCTAGTCACCAACTGCAACACAGCCTGGATACCAGTGAAGCCTTGGGGTTCAGTCATGCCCCATCTACTTTAAAGAGGACCAAGACATAACATTCTAGAAAAAAAACCTGAAAATATATAATCTTTAGAAAAAGGTAAACCACTCATTTTCTATCGAGCATTTCTGCATTAAGGTAACTCTGCTGCTTAAAGCAGGAGAAAGCACTCACTCAGGGCTTGGGGGGTTTACGACCACAGGAGAAATTTAAAATCAGGAGTATGGGCTTGATTAAATCACTTGAGAAACCAAGCTGGCTGGCAATATGGAGTCTCTTTGCCTTTGACACCCTAAAGTGATGCTTTCTAAGAGATCCCACAAAAAGTGTCAAAACACGAAATCCCTTATTTAATCTATCGGCAAAGCAACAGACGCCTAGAAGTCTCCCGTTCACTAAGCTTGCTTTAGACTAGAGATTAACACTGTTTTTCTTCTAAAGTGCAGAATATAAACAAACATAGTCAAATCTACCAGAATAAGAAAGATCAGTCTTCATTCATTCACTCAAGTCTTCCCCAAATACACCAGAATTGATCATTGCAAGGAGCCTCGGTACTGCTGACACACTCGAGGCCCGACCGGACACGAAACTCTACCTCACGCATGGCATGGGGACAGCGGTTTCCAGCCTAGAGCAATTCTAAGCCCAAAAACTCAGCCCACAGGAGCAGATCACTCCACAGGTCACTCCATTCCACTGAAATCCCCGAATTTTACCTGCTGTCAAAACAACCTGCAGGAGGAAGTTGCTACTCGAACACACACACACACACACACACACACACAATCAGCCAAAGGACTCCCGAAAAACAGCTTGTCATACTTGGAATGTGACCAAAACGGGTTTCCAATTAAAACACGGGAAGATTCTCCCATGTCACCTACTGCAGTGACTGCAGCAGACTCAGCACAATCCTCAGGAAGAGCGAAGCGGACGGGATGGACTGATGAGGATAAAGGAAGTGTCGTTCAATGATAATCCCTTAAAGAAAAAAAACATTTGGACATTCACGCCTCCTATTTACAATCACCCGCCACCACCACCACGATTCTATTTGAACTTTATGTTCCACATTTTATTTTATTTTCAAGTTACATTTCAAGAAAAGGTCTTTTTTTTTTTTTTCTTCTCAGCAATCTCTCACACAATTCCTTGTGATAGCACAGCATCTAAACCATAAACCACTTGCAACCAGACCTCAATCCTCCAGCTATCGGCTTTGGTTTATTGATGAAAGAAATCCTCAGCTCTGCTGACAGGGAATAAACATCAGCGATGTCGTCCTTGGAACAAAAAGTAAGTCACGGGAGCACCCTCATGTTTACCATGCTCTGCCTGACTGAAATTGACACAAGGAAACACACGATCAGCACAACCTGCATGTAACTGAGACTCCCAGGTGAGGGCCAACGTAGCTACTCCAGGCTCAGGTGAGAAGACAAGGAGCCGACACGTCTGACACACTGCCCGAGCACCCCCGGCCCCCAATCTCGATTACCGCACAGAGCTCGAGTCCCCCTGTGCTGGTGTTCGGGACGCGACACGTTAGTGTCTGTCTTGGAAAGATGTGGATAGGTCATACTTCCCACGGCATTTTCCAAAGTGGCACTGGAATAATGGGGTCCCCTTAGGGTTGGCTCATGATATACTGTAGACCCATTCCAATGGGTATACAAAGAAAAAAAAAAAAAAAAAAAGCAGAATCAGAGCTGAGTTCCCCTTTAAAAGCCAAACACCTACATCTAGAAGGAGGCTCCCCTACCTGAGAGCCCTTGCCCTACGGGGGTTCCCGCTGTGGAACCCTCAGGTTCGAGGTTAGTTACAGGGCAGCCAGGTAGGGTACGGCTGGCTGTAGGGAACCGGGGGCTGGGCGACGTAGTAGTTGTTGAAGTTGCCATCGCTGACGTAAGGCGCGGGCTGGTAGTAGCAGGTGACGTTGGTGGCGCTGGGGATGATGTTCTGCTCCGCCAGCACGCGCAAGGCCAGCAGGGAGATGAGGTTCAGCGTCTGCCGGCGTTCGTGCCCCATGAGGCACACGGTGCTCTCGTTGACCACCCTGCGGAGGATCATGAGGTAGTCGTACTTGCTCCTCTCTTCCTCCGCGAAGTGGTTCTGAAGGTAGGTCTCCAGCTTCCTCTGCTGCTCGAGGATGTCTGGGAAGTCGATGAAGAACCTGGAGCACATGTAGCGCTCGAGGGTTTTGATCTCTTCCTGGTCTGTGGGCCTGAAGTCCCGCACGAGGAGGTTGCTGTACTTGAGCAGCCCCCCGCCCCTGATCTCCTCGGGGTTCTTGGTGGCGATCAGTCTGTTCTGCAGGTGGTCGAAGGCTTCCTCGAAGTCCCCGTACACGCTCTCCCCGATCACCGTGGGGTGCAGGTGCTCGGAGAGGGGGCCGCTGGAGCAGTCGTAGAAGAAGAGCAGAGAATCCAGGATGATCTGAAAGGAGTCTACGCTGAACTCGAACTGACGCCGGATGGAGTCGACGAACTTCAGCTCCACGTTCCTCCCGTTCTTGTTGGACAGGGAGATGAGGCTCCAGCGGTCGGCATCCGTGCAAACCTTCACCAGCTTCTGCACGTAGGCCTCCTTCAGGGTCACGGGGCTGATTTTGAGCTTGTTCACGCCCTCGGGCAGGAAGTTCAGGAGGGAGCACAGAACCACATCTCTGACCAGCTGAAACTCCGCCTCCGTGGGGAGGGCCACGTGGAAGATCAGGTCCAGGTCTTTGCAACCCAGGCCGTTGTCTTTGACCAGGACGTGGCCAGCTGCAGAGCCATTCAGCCGGACGTCCTGAACCTTGATGCCCGCCTCCTCCAGCCGGCTGCGGACGGTCTGCACGATGTCCTTCAGAGTGATCTCCAGGGTTGGGAAGTTGCCTCGCCCGTGGACGGGCACGACCTCGGTCAGGACCTCGTGCAGCCGGCTGACCTGGTCCCAGTTGAGCACGCTGAAGGACACGCAGTCCCTGGTACTGCTGCTCTCCTCTGCCATCCTGGGCCGTCCTTGCCAGGGACACTGAAAGTGAGCGGGTGAGAAAGAGAGTTAGGACTCGCTTCTAATGGCGAAGCAGCTCGAGGGACTCGGAGAAGACGCTGATCTTTCTGCGGATGTTTTCCTGTAAGACAGCGGGAAAGGACGCCCACTGCGGGGTGTTGCCGAGAGGATTAAATGAGGTAAATACATAAAGAAGAGCGGCTGGACGAAGGAAGGACAAAACGTACAAGTTTACCCTCTACCGAATTTGACGACTTCGCAAGTTTGTTCTGTGTGGGTTGGTTTGCTTATGTCGTCTGCATGAGCGGGGTGTGGGGGGCAGTGTGATGGTTTGTACGGAGGGAAGGAGACGAACTTATTACACCAAGTAACCTGCACGTAACATAATTCGGTGGGGGCCCTACAGGTTTTGCTGATTTTCCTTGTTTTCTATGAAAATTACCTCTCCGGCTTTGGGCTCCCTAACTGTTGCACCTTGAACTCAACACCCACACCCAGAACCTACAGGATCCACAAGAAAAGACTCCCTTCGCACCACGCGTGGATGAATTCTCAACTCCCGGCTGCGACCGCCTCAAGAAGAGGAAGTCAGATGGGTCCTGCCAGAATCCAGCACATGGATGTCCTGTCAGCAAGAACCCCGTCCTTTTCCCTGTGGGGGGCGGGGGAGGGAGGGGGGTCTGTCCGACAACAAACACTTTTGTTAAGCAGGGTAAGATCGAGCAGCTGTTGGACCAAGTTCCTGGCTGACAGCGGGTGAGGCCAGCTCGGCGGTGGAGCGGCTGCGCCCAGCAAGGAGGCCCCACGGGATGCGAGACACTGCCTCAGGGGAGGGCAATCTTTCAACCATAGTTTGAAACATGACTTGAAGCTGCCTAAAGAGAAGGAAGCTGGCACTCGGTCCTGGGAGAAAAGCATCACTTCTCCCGCTTCACCTGCTATAGACACAAAGCTACCAAAGTCATCTTCAACCAAGTCATGCTTTTCAGAAAATGAAAACTAAAAGGTTCCTGGAAATCCTAATATATAAAAACAAATACTGACACGTTAGCAAGCCAAGGGGCCTGTGGATCCACATGGGTCAAATATTAGCTCGCTGGACGTAGAGCCAAAACAACAGGTCAAGGTGCTGTCGTCGGGCAGCGCGGTGGGCAGACAGTTCCCCCATCCCCTCCCTCCTCTGACCTGCTGGACACATGCAAAACTCAGCCCAGGGACCTCTGCAGCTCCATCCCTGGGAAGCCACTGCTTCTGAAAGCACATGCAGCGTGTGCCGTCCTGAGGTTCCAACTTGGCTTCCTAGCCCCGCCCTGGTGCCAGAGGACGGTCTGGGAGCGCCGGGCCATGAGGAAGGCGCGTGAGAACACAGTATATCGATACGAGGCTGTGTGTGCTAGAAAATGTAGTACAAAGGCAGGACAAAGGAGTGTCCTTTGAGCGAGGTCAACAGGAAGGCCACAGAAGAGCTCACTTTTGGGGAGGGACATAAGCCGACTGAAAGGGAACACTAGCTCTTGGCTGGAAGACAGCATGTCACCAAGACCCGGCCAACTGACTATTCTGGCCATCGGGCACCTCTGCTGAAGCCAGTCACAGGCTCCCATCAGCATGGCATTTGCCAGGCTGGCAATGCAAAGGCCGGGTTCCAGGAAGACTGGGCTGGGGATGCGTGTGCCTCTGCTCGCTACAGGAAAACACGTGCCAAGCGGAAGATAAAAGTCTCCCTCTGAGCCACTTTGGACAATGGTAAAAAGCCCTGAGCTATCTAGATCATCCTGCCCAAGCATCCTAAGTTCGGGATGCCAGACAAAGCTTGTCATGAAATACTCAATGTTTGCTGTGGCTGGCGGCTGGCTTCAAGTCAGATTGGGGACAGCAGAGTTTTCTTCTTAACGGGCTCTGTGGACACTTGGTTCTTTGTGCCCCTTTTATGACACGCCTGCAGGACGCTCGTGTCTGTTACACAAGGCACTGCACAATTAAGTTCAAATGATTACAGAAAGGCATGACTGCAGCTTTGTTTTGAGCCACTGTTAAACTCTGATTTGGTAACAGATTTCGGTCAGGTATTTGATCCACCTATAAACATACAACTTGCTTTACCCTGTGCATCACCCGTTACTGTGTCTCCAAGGCTCACGTTTCCCATACAGGCATGAGAAGTCGCAGCAGATGCAGGGGGTGGGGTGGAATAGAAGGAACGATGAATTTTACGAATATCTCCAGGAAGAACCTCAGTAATGCTGCAGAGGAGAACAGCTACGGGAATGACTTTCGACTCACGCCTTTCTTTTTAAGGAACTATTAAAAAAAAAAAGTCATCCGTAGGTAGAGTCTGGTCTACTCCCACCTCCGGGGCTTCGCGAGGCTAGAGGAGGGGCATCCAGACCAGTGAGAATCTGGCGAAAGCTGTTACTCCTCCTCCTGGCGGAAAAGGCACAGATGCATGAAAATTTTCATCTATTTCTAAATCCCTGAACTTGTACTAGATTCAAAATTAGAATCTGTTTTGGACTGAAAATATGTAAGGTTCACATGGGAAAAGGGGAAGGAACAGGCAGAAAAGTTATGAAAAATAAGAATGACGTCTATTACCCCACGAGAGGGATTATGAAGCCACAAGAATTGAAACAGTGCGGTATTGACACGAAAAGCAGACAAATCGATGGAACCGGATTTTTTAAATCTAGAAATAAAATCTAATACATAAGGGGATTAAGCATATGAGAAAGTAGACATTACAAAATTGCAGACAGAAAAAAATGGAGACATCTGGATAGTTATCTAGATTTTAAAAAAGTAAAGGTAGCTCCTTATCTTGTGCCAAACTAAGATCTAGACGGATGAATCAAAGACTTATGTATAAAAGATGAAACTCTAAGAGTACTAGAAAAAAACATGGAACTTATACACACTTACATAGAGTAAGTAGTCCTTTCTAAATCGTGTAAAACCTAAAAGTCAAAATTAAAAATCTACATGGTAAAAAAAAAAAAAACCCATAAAGAAGTCAGAATCCCAAGGAAAATATTTGTAGCATTAGGCAAAATCCTCACTTCCGTGGTGAATAATGAGCTCCTACAGACCAGAAATACTAGAATTCTAACAGAAGGGTCAAAGGCCACGAACAGTGACTCAGGTGCATAAAACACAGTCAACCTGATGCTAAGGGACGGGCAGATGAAAACTCCGACGTGTCCTTTTTACCTATCGAACTGGCAAAGTTGCCTTGCGTGCGCTGCCCGTGGATCTCTCTGGAGAATAACGCGGCACTCTAATTCTCAGTGGACCTACCCTTGGACATAGCAATTTTACTTCTAGGAAGCCTACTTTGGACTTTATCCCACGGGTATGCTTTCGAGTGTGCACAAGGCTATTCATTGGAGAATTACTTATAAAGCTGCAAGTAGTCATTAAGAGAAGGAGGTTAAGTGACTTGATACGTGTAGACTGCAGTATACAAATGTATACAGTTGTCCAAAAGGATGGTGGCAGCCCTATCTGTATGAACGTGAAATGCCCGTCAGGATTTATGAATAGAAAATCAAGTGCAAAACTGTGTGTAAAAGCACAAGTCTCTGCTTATACAATCAGAAGCATCTCTGGTGAGATACACGGCAGTTCAGCCTACACCAACTATCACCTACCTCTAGGCTGGGGGATAGAGGACAAAAAAATTTATTATATCCTTTTTTCTGGTTAGAACCTGTGCATGTTGAAAGATCTTAAAATCCTATGAACCACGTTCTACAACATTTCCCCTATGAGCCTTCTACTCATCTGCCACCTTATCTGATTCCTTCAGTTCCTTCCCGGCCCCTCCCGCCCGCCATACCCATATTCACGTGCCCAAATCAAATACACTTAAAAGCTCCCACCTCCAGCCCTCAAATGCTGATCTCCAGAGTGGGCAAGGGAGGAGGGACTATTTTTCCTCCAGAATGACTTTTAGTCAAATTTCTACTAAGGCATTCATTGTGCGTATACAACCCAAAACTTTCAAAATAATGGATGAGCCATCTCATCCAGTCCCAGTCTATGTCTGTTATCCAAAAACGTTTTCTCATAGTTTTACAAGAATTGCTCTTTCTCATTTCAGACATATCATCGCTACCCTCACATAATCCTCTTGATCATTAGATACAGTCCCAAGAACCTTAATAAACGCCATCTCTGCTTTTTCAGGAATGTAAGCTGCCTGTGGTTGCCTTCCACGTTACCCTCGCCCATCCGAACTTCAAAGAGCAAAAGTATATTTTCCAGTTACTTAGACAAACATTGGTATTATGAGAATAAATCCAAGTCATAGGCCCTTAATGCTTAGAGAACACACCAGAGCTTGGCGTATGGCTTTAATTTTAATTAACCACTTGAAATCAACATTGATATAATCCCCACAGAAAAGAATCACACGAAACACACATTCCCAGGCCACAAAAGGCTCTGGCTAAAGGCGAATTCTAGTTTAAAAAAAAAATTTAACGAAATCATGACTAGAAAAAAAGTTGAAGCCTGGTAAATTCAAAAAAAGTGTTTCATTTTCCTTTTACTGTCTCAGCAGGAGAGTCATTGTATTTTACATAGAACAAATTGCGAAAGGTGGAAACCATGATTTCTCATTGATTTGACGATTCAGGCACCTTTTTACGAATGAGGATGACCAATGTCCTGCTCAGTTCAAGCTAATCTTCCACAGTGTCTGACTCGTGATGAACGATTATCTCAGGTACCCTCGAATTCCTTTACTCCTAGCGTGTGGCTGTACCAGGAGAGTAGAAAACACGTATGAAAAGAACACGTTTGCAGAGACAGCAACCAAAGTGGGGAGGAAGAGACGAGCTGGGCCAGACGATTAAACCAAGCTCCCTGAGGACAGGTTGATGTGTAACTTACCTCTATTTCCCCACAGCCTGGGACAGGGCCACTCAAGGCGGGATGATCTGAAAACTTATGTTTGAGCCTATTCAGAGGGCAGGGGAAAAAAAAAAGCTATTTCTAGTCTTGCTTCGTAGCTTATCCAG